CACGGCTTTCGCCCGATGATGGTAAATACTTAATGGAAATGTGAATGTCGGTCTTTTAAGCGATAACAGCATTGCTAACTTCTCTGTTTTCACTTTTACAAACAAGCCTTGCAGTTTTTTGAGACGGTGAGTTGGATTTTCTCATATACGCTGATATTGTAGAACACTGTGGCCGTCAAAGCGGTGCTACGCGGAGGCAGCCTCACCAACCACAACCCAACGTACGTCATCGTCCGGGTTGGCAGTGGCCGAGCACTTGAACGTGACGTCATCGTATTCGTTGACCTGGGTCGAGTCCACCTCGACGGCCACCTCGGGCGGGAACTGGACGTGCAGTGTGATGGCGGCGGTCTGCGCCGTCTTCAGCGCCTCGTTGCGCGCCTTGCACGTGATGTTGGCGCCGTCGTGGCGTGCCTCCGGCTCCAACAGGATGGTCGACTCGACCACGTGGCGCTTGCCGTCGGTCATCAGCCGCGCCTCGCTCGTGACGTTGTTTTCGAGCTGCTCGCCATCTCCGTCGTACCACTCCAACTGCGGGTTCACCGGGTCGTCAATAGGTGGCAGCAGTGAAGCAATGCGCAGAAACTGGCCATTGCGTTAAAATGGTCAGTTATAAAGCATGGCCGGTGAGCACTGAACAAGACAAATAAGGCAGCGCTTTCCGCAGATAACGACCACCCACAGCACACCCACAGCACACCCACAACAGTTTAGACAACAGCCGACCCCCGCGGGTCAATTTGCCGGGCCATTAACATTTATTCGTCTAGACCAACGTGCTCTTTACGAGTGGCGCAGCTGTGCGCCGCCGTGGCCAACGCCCCCGAGCGAGACCACCGCAGTCCTGAGGAGGCCGCGGCGCCGCCCACGCCACAGCCCGCGAGCAGTCGGCGCCGTTAGCTTTGGAGTCGATGGACCTCAGAACGACGCGAGAACAACACCGCCGCACCGGTTACCGCCGCTCCCGGCCGCTGGCAGGAGCTCAACAGTGGGGCGGCCAGAGCACGGCGCACGGCGCCGGGCGGCGGTGTACCTCGGGTGGCGGTTTGCCACCGCGGCTCTCGCACTGCAGCCGCACGACCACGCCGGCCGTGGTGGAGAGCTGGCCGCCCTGCACCATCCGTGGCGCATCGGGCGGTACCAGCACCGTCAGGCGCGCGTCACTGGACCTGCGAGCAGAGGGGCGAGACCGCATCAGCGGTGCGCTCCGTCGAACTGAGCAGAACACGTGACCGTTCGATGCGCGCTCGCCAACCGGAGACTGGGGACGCTCGCCTGCCACGTGCTCGGGCGCCGATGGGACTGACACGCGCGCGAGGCGCGCGACTGGGACCCGTGCGTGCGGCGGACTGCCGGTAACGTGCTCTATGAACCGGCGAGGAGACGCACCGACGCCGTCCTGTTCCCGGATCTCTCATCCGGCGCCACTCCCCGCCCCTGTCGCAAGCACGCGGCCACGACACAGCCACCGAGACCCTTGTTTGCAGGGCGGGGGCAATCCCCTCAACCGCGAACGCACATCATCAAAGGCTATCGTCGGTCCGCAGGAGCCTCCGTTGGCAGATACATAAATTATGAACGCATCGCCAATCAATCTGCGCCGGCAAATTGCAGATCACAGCAATCAGCGTAACGAGATGGGCTGGCCGGGCGCGCGCCCGCCGGCCGATGGATCCCGCCGCAGGGGGCCCGTTCGGCGCCGGCCACGCGCTGATCTGCCGACTATCAGTGTTTGGTGGCCTTCTAACGCGCCAACCGGGGATCGTTCGGCCGACGAACGCCCTAAATATTCGGCGTCGGGCCGGCCGGCGGCGTCGGCGGGGTTCCTGGTGATCAGGCCGGCGGTGCGGCGCCACGGCGGCTTCATACCGGTGAGCCGCCGCAAACTCGCTCGGCTGACGCATGAATTAGCATAGCGCGCCCGGCTAAATTGACGAAGTTGTGCCGCCGGCGGTGTGGCCGCGCAGGAGATGGGGCTGAGTGGTGGTGTCGGACACGCGACACCGCCGCACACGGAACACGTCCGTTCCCCGTAACGCGACCAGGCAGTGAGTATGTGCATGGCGTACATGGGGAGTTGGGGATTTGCAATTTTGATCTCCAAGGTTTAGCAAAGTGAGGTTGCAAGTTGGCGCACTGGGAAACCAGGCAAACCCGGAAATCTGCCAACGAAACGCGTGGTCACTATAGTATGCTTTTAAACCTTAGCCAGCACACACTCAGCTTTCAGGTGATGCTTTAGGGCAAACTACATAACAATATTATAAGCAAGAGGTGTTTTCTGTTACTATTCCGGCTTACAAGCAACTACCCAGCCGCGAATCAGTGTAATGAAAGACCATCTATAATGCAGCGCGGATTCGTAGAGGGCCGCCCGCCCAACATTTGGCTACCGGGAAGTTCTGATGGACCTGCGCCTGTCTAGACGGGGCGCAGACGGCGCATGGCAGGGCCAATTTTAATGCCGTCTGCGCCAGCCCGCGGCGCTGCAGACGGCCACAGCGCGGCGCCGCCGGCCGCAGCACTGCAGGTCACGCTGCTCCGGACCGGCACGACAGCCAAAACCGGGGCCCGGGTCGGCCAAGACCACAGAGGCGGAGATCAGGGTAGTGTTCCGACACTGGCCCGTGTGAAGCGACACAAGTTCTGTGAAGCGACACAGGTCTATGTGAAACTACACAGGTTCGTGTGAGGCGACACAGGTCTTTGTGAAACTACACAGGTTCGTGTGAAGCGACACTGGTCCGTTAGAGGCGACACAGGTCCGTGTCAAGTGACACGGGTTCGTGTGAAGCCGCACAACTTCGTATGAAGCGACACAGGTCCGTGCGAAGCGATACAGGTTCGTGTGAAGTGACGCGGGTCTGTGTGAGGCGGCACGGGTCTGTGTGAGGTGACATAGGTCCGTGTAAAGCGACACTCATCTGGGTGAAGCGACACTGGTACGTGCGAAGCGACCCTGGGCCGTGTGAAGCGACACTGAGCCGTATGAAGTGTGACAATCCATCAAGCAATCGTTGGTGGATGGTGACGTTTTCATCACTCACGCTACGTCCGATTCCCGCGTAACGTAAGCAACTGAAAATGGCCTAAAAACCAAATTTTGCACACATTTCATTCAATTTTAAGACTTAAAATGCAGTCGGCTTGCAAAACCTGAAACGTACGAAAACAGTGAAAAAGAACGACCACATGTAACTTCCTTCTGAATATCAGTTTTCACCAAACTTGTCTATCAACTGAGCGCTATAGCAGCACGCATACCGACAGCGCTGCTCGGGTCAGGCTGCCCCGCTGGCAGGCCCGGCCTCTTTCCGTGATGACCTTGGGCCGCGTGCGCCGGTCAGACTCGCCAGGTCGGGCGACACGCGGCGTCCGCCTCGGTCGCACGCTCCGAGCGGCGGAGCCGCCAGCCCCGCCTCCCCGGCCGACGGCGAACCGCTATTCCGGCTGCGCATTTTACGACCGCGATGTAATGGGGGAAACAAAGCTTGTCCGGGAAACAGAGCAAGTGGCTGGCGTGCGGCGGGTTGGGTTTCCCCCAGGGAGTCCGGGACGACGGCGAAGTACGCGGCGGGGAAGTAGGTCGCTCAGTCTATACTCCCGCGTTGAAGCAGGCGACTTTTTATAATAAAAATGTGGCGGGGTTAGCACAGTTACACAGTCACATATGAAAAGCAGTGAACAGAATGGGCGGCGACAGCCCTGAATAGCTGCATATTATGCGTTAAGTGCTGCGATGACGCGCTAACGAAAGCCATATCGTGCGAGTACAGTAACACAAAGGTCGATCACCGACGCTGACTAAAGTGACAGTGTTGTCCGATCTGGAAACGAACATCGAACAAGTGATGGTGATTTACATCATCGGAAGACGGGCAGCAGGTGAATGGGGACAGAACTGACGCAGAAGAGGGAGGGGGGGGACATAATCACGACTTAAAACAAGTCACACAAGTTTGGGAAGTCCAAGCACTGAGCACTAAATCCAGTAAATTCGACTAGGACATGGCCGAATAGCGATGTCAACAGAGCACACGAGAGTAGGAAAACGGAAAGAAAATAGTGGTGACGGTAACATTACTGTGAATCGGAATATTACGATTTGCAATGCTGGAATCATAAATCCGAAGCGGATCTCACACCAATCAGGCGTGGTGAGTCCAGCACGAGATCACCCAACAACCAATATCCTGGCCGCGACATAGTGAGTGCAATGAATTATTCTACACTGGGACCTCCGCATCCCCACAGACCATCACGGAGCAAACCGCAGAACTCCGGACAAATCCTGAGCGACCTGCCAGGGGACATTCCAGCCCAACCTCATCTAGTTTGACCATTTCCCGGACTAACCGCTTCTAAGTACACCACTTTCAGCCAACGCTGTCAAATGGTTGGATTCGGCGTCGGGTTGCAGCGTCGCACTTTGCGTGACCGGAGTTCTGATCCGGTTAGGCGGCTGACTTTACATGAGTGTATCCACCAAACCCCCGGGATTCGGAGCCACACTGCGCAGCGATTCCAGAGGGCTGCTGCCTGGCCGAGGGCGCTCACGCTGGTCACCAAGACCAGACCCTGATCGCGCAGCGATCCCAGAGCGCTGCGGTCTGGCCGAGGGCGCTCGCGCTGGTCACCAAGACCAGACCCTGAATGGGAACCGGTATGATATGACATGGCAAAACACATGGCATGGGAATCGGATCAGTGTTGCCGAGTGGTGGATTCCTCAACTGATAGATGTGAATTGTCATCAGATAGAAATGTAATGTTCGTGATGAAAAAGACCCGCGGAACCAATCATCGACTTGATGTATCGGTTAAAAAAACGTGACATATCAGACAAGAGTCACTAAATAAGCACCCGGTGCTTATTCCCCGAATTCATTCGCCCCTCATGTTGACCAAGTATCACAAAGTAACCCCATTCCATTTGACGCATTGCTTCTGCTCGCCCTGCTCCGAATGACCTAGCGTCCGGTGACCCCGCTTTTACTGAC